TTCCTGGGATAATAAATCCAAGTGCCAAATTTATTGGAACTATTTATCCTCCTCCTGCAGGCTCTTGCAAGCTTATAAGCCTGAAGTAGTCCTCCTTGACCATCATAGCAAGACGATATTCCTCATAAAGGTTTCATCTACTGGTGATACGAATGTGTTCGAAAAGAAGGAGGAAAAACAGATGAAATCTCAAAATTCTGCCCGAGCGGCTGATGAACACCTAAGTCTACTGCAGTGTCGTGATGGGTATAGAGGTTCCTGACACAAGGTGCAGGGCCTGCCGCGAGGCGCCTGAGACTCTAGTGCATTTGCTGTCAACAAATGCACTAGTGGGTGTTATTTTTGAATTCAGGTATCGATTAAAATCAGTTCAATTATAAATACATAATACCATTCTTGATTTATGTCATCTCTCTGAACGATAAAAGTAACGGTCCCAACATGGCTCGTTGTGGCAATTCATGTTATCTATTCTGAAAATAATCTTTCATGATGTAACTCTCACAGATTTGTCGTTAATGTAAAGTAACAGACATGTTTATTCTGGGCCGTACCCCCGTACGACTTATCCCGAGTTGAAATAAAATCTTTCAAATCACTTCACGAAATGCAGCATCATTTATATCAATAAAGTTAATGATTACCGAATATCATTCATGAATAGTCTAGACACCATCTCGTCAAGCGGTACTATCAAACTATTAACCTATTATTATCAGTTATTATCGGGTCGCGTTACTCCTCAATATGTCTTCAACGTGAATTTTATAGCTGAAGAATATGAGCTCCTGACCTTACGTAATTATACGATTCGTGGAAATTGTAGAGAACTGGATAAATAGTTACAGTGCTCGAGATTTCGAGGTCATAGTACTTTCAATTACCCCGACATGTGAGTATCAAAATATGATGGATTGCTAGAGCTTTTTAAGAGATATACCGAACTGACATTTCAAATCTGAAAGATGAAAACAACAGGTAGGGACTCGAAAGGGTTTCAAGTAAATAATTTTTAAACCATTTGAATAGGATGGAGAAAATAATTTTTGTCTGATTTCAACAAAGATTTTCATTTGTTACAACCGGTTTCGGTTTATAAACCATTCTCAAGAAAACTGACACAGTTTAACAAGCAAATCTTGAAATATACAATTATATAGTCAATGTAGGTTAATTAAGTCTGCATCTGAAATAGCAAATGCGTTACCTAAATCGTCAATACCTTATCATAGATACTAAAATAGTAATTATTTATCTTCCATAACACATCGAAATTACTGAGTATTGATCCAAAACCACTACTTGTGGATTGCTCCACATCAGAAATCATCATATAGATACAGAATGTGCGCTAGAGGTACACTTGATGATGAAATTGATAGTAGAGACTATATTAATAGTTCCTTTTTAGTTTTCCGCTATTGCACTACTTCCAAATTACACTTAGGTACCGAGCCCTTGGTTAGAGAGTCACTCCCTAACTTACTTTCCTGTTCATGTATTTCATTTGTGATTGGTTTATACATAAATCTCTATCTCCGATAGACTTTTCTTTCTTTATCGCTGTACAAGAGATGTATTTTCAGTGGCCTTTGTCATCGATTGACAGGACCATTGTTGACAATGATGGTTATGGAAATGTAGGACCCAAATAAAAATCTCGGGTTGATTACTTTGTATTGTTGGAGTTGAATGCTACAGACTACATCAGGTGGTCGTAAGGAGGGGTGGCTACAAGAGTATCATTTTGTTGAATAAGGTGTCACGTTTCGTCTGAGCACTGTGGAATAATTTGCATTGATTCTCGACAGATCAAACAATACTGATACAATTTATATATGATGAATTAAATAGTAAAGATTTTGTGATAGGTATATTTTTTGATCTTACATGTGCATTTGACACTTTAAACATCACTTTTGTGGAAGAAAAGTTGGAAAAACTTGTAATACGAGGAAATATTCAGAACTGGTTAATTTCATATCTATCTGACAGGAAACTTATAGTGAAAGTTAATAATGTGTGTTACTCAGGAAAGGGCATCTTTGTAGGAACACCGCAAGGTAGTGTTCTTGGTCCCATGATCTTTCTTCTTTATATACACGATTTAACAAATTTTATATCTCAAAGAAAAGTTTTCTTATATGCTGATGACACGTCCATTATATGTAGAGGGAAAACACTTGATGATGCAATTAATGCTTCACATGCTGTCATACACGAATTTAAGTCATGGTGTTTCAGAAACAGGCTAATTAATTATGATAACACCGTATGTATGTTATTTAAATCTAAAACAAATTCAATCGATTCAAAAAATATCAAAATTCACATAAATAATCATGAGCTGAAAATAAGCAATGAAACAAAATTTTTGGGAGTCACCCTAGATGAACTCATTGCTTGGACTCCACATATAAATAAGTTATGTTCTCAATTGAGTTCATCATGCTTCGGCATTAATACATTAAAATATGGTTTAGACAACGAGTATCTGATAAATGTGTACTACGCATTATTTTATTCTAAGATTGCCTATAACATAATTGTCTGGGGCCAAAGTGTTGATGTGCACATGTTTTATATTCTGATGCAGATTCTGCTTCTGTTAATTAAATAGTAAAGATTTTGTGATAGGTATATTTTTTGATCTTTCATGTGCATTTGACACTTTAAACATCACTTTTGTGGAAGAAAAGTTGGAAAAACTTATAATACGAGGAAATATTCAGAACTGGTTAATTTCATATCTATCTGACAGGAAACTTATAGTGAAAGTTAATAATGTGTGTTACTTAGAAAAGGGCATAAGGTACACCGCCCTTGAGGAGACGACTCAGTCGTTTCCTGGCTGCACTACCGAACCTTTTGTTTAGGTTCAGTTATTGGATCAGGTGTTGGAGAGTTGAGAAGCTCTCGCTCCTGATCTAACCCCCAAATCTAATTAGTAATACTTCTATGTTATCTGCCGGAAGTTTTAATTTTTAACATATTTTCATTCAACTTGCCATGTTTATATGTATGTAGGGTAGGTCCAAACTGTGGCTCAGACTCATTCAAACTCGACTAGGCATAGAGTATGTGCTTTTCTACCAGATTCTGAACTTCCTTGTGAAGAATCATCCACTCTGAAGTTTAAGTCCATGGTATATTTTCTACAATCTACTGAGAACCTGATCGGCGACTACCTTCGCCAGGTAGGATAGCAACAGAAATTTGTAGCTTAGAAAGTAGTTCTTCTGTGAGATGCTCTTCCATGGCTACAGCGTACCCTTCAGCCGGGAGATGTCCTCCTGATCCTCTCGAAAAACCTGTAGCCATCCAGGTCGTAATGTGAAGCCCTGGGAGCGAACATGTGGACCATCTTCTGAAAAATTCTCTATGCCCATAATGACATACTGAGAGATTTCAGTTGGTCTATCGAAATTGACGTTGTTGAATATTCTCACCTTCCCCCTAAGCCGGTCAGCGTTTGCTGGGGGGAATTTGTTTGCTGGGGGGAATTTGTTTTATATTCTGATGCAGATTCTGCTTCTGTTACAGCACCACATCATCTGAAGATCTTAATCTATCAATGTCCTCTCTCTCATAAAACAAAATGTAGGGTGTCTCTAGAGGCTCCAATAAATTCAATGCATCGCCAGAACATTTCGTGTTCTGTTATTTATCATTCTGGCATCTACTACTGAGGTCATTAGCCATCTTTCAAATTAATTAATTACATTATTATAACATGTTTGTTTGATTCATGTGAAGTTGCTGGTTTTTATAAATCAATTCATTGGGGCTCCTTCATTTGTTTCAGAATTATACAACTGTAATTGATTTTTCGAAATTATCAGTTGTTTGACTTAAATTTGCCTTCCCTAACATTTTACAAAACATACACGCGATACCATTGGGTTAGGATAAGCACAAGGAAATATATCTTTTTTATAGCAGCTTTGGAGAAACATCCATTTTCTATGAGGAATCAGTTTTTGAAAAACAGTCACGTCAATGGTGAACGCTCAATTCAGAAATTAATTACTCTATATCATACTACCTCCTTATTGTGATTGTATTTATGCTTCATTGTCTAGCCTTTCAATTACCTTTGAGTACAAATGGAGTACAAACCTTCATCCCACCACATTTTTCTCATATAATTCTTGTATTCATCAGAAATATAAAGTTTAAATCATGTTTAGTTCAAATCGTTAGAGAGACAATTCAAGCAAATTGAAAAAAATAGAAAAATTTAAAGTGACACACAAGAACTGAAATTGGGTCAAGAGGCAAAATATTCAAAATTGAACAACGTTCTACTGAAGAAATTTTAGAAACTTTCAGAGACGTCAAATTTCATTGAACATTTCTTTAAAAAATTACAAATTTGACAGATCTATCGTGTGACAATTAAAGCGGGGCTGGTATTCAATAATTTTTCTATCGAAAACTAACTGTAACGTCAAATTTCAATTATATCTCTCAATAAAAAAGTAATCTACGGTGCGGACTAGAGTGGTGTCACTGTAATTATATAAGCATTATCGTTATATTAAGTATATTCGCATTGTTGGGACTCCAGTTATACTGAAATGGCCTGTAAGAAGCTTCTTTAAAATTTCATTCGTATCAATTACTCGTTAATTGTAAAAATAACAGTTCTAAATACAAATTACATATTTCAAAGTCTCGGCGCGTGCTCCAAGCGCGCTAAACGCAAACAAAATCCCTGCAAGTCTAGCTTCCAACTTCACACATTTTGAAATGTACTCAGTCCGCTTATCGCAAACAACCAACCCTCGACCCCCAACCTCAAAGGCTAATTGATTCCCGATAACAATCATCCACGATCGCGAATCAATTCCATGTTTCAAGTTCAAACTTTTAGGAACCGTTCGTAGGATTCAAAATAGTTGGCGGCCTCCCCTTCGCGCTGTCGCATGGACCAATCCACACGGCCCCCTCGCCTCTCGAGCAGCGCGTCCGAACAAACTTGCGCGTTGCCGTTGCTTCGTCACTTGCGTTTCGTTTGTCGTTTGTGTCAGTCGTGTGTAGGGCCGGATTGTGAGATCGCGATAATTTCAGTGAGTTCACCTTTAAAACTGTGTCGTTTTCTCGTGAGCTGACCTGGATAACTTTCTAGAAGAATCAAGTAACTATTTGGAAGTGATTTCCGTACTGTTTTGGTGAGAAATCTCTTTTGGCGCGTGGCTATTTCGGTGTATTCTTAGTTGCCTACTCTCAGACGTAAACAAAACAAAATGAGCACGAGCGTGTACAAGCCCATCGGCCTTTTTCAGTCAAGAACGCCCGTGAAAATGCTTTTCTGCATGCCGGAAGTGCGAAAAGTCAAGAGGGTGCTCTTCGAACCTACGGATCACGCGGCCACTCAGAAATTCATCGACGAGGAGCTGCAGAAGATTACAGTAACGCAGTCCGAGAGATGGAACTTCGACTTCAAAAAGGAGAGGACCCTCAACCCCAACGGGGTTTACAACTGGAGGCCTGTCACACCGCAGAAGGCCATCCGGCCGATCAAGAGGCGCCAGAGTCCTGCCTTGGAGGAGTTCGAAGTGGAGGAATTGTACGGGTTCCCTCAGGAGATCGTGAGACCGGTTCCCGTCAAAGCTACAGTTGAGATGTCATCGCCTATTAGGAATCAGAAAGCACAGCCACAACGTCTTATTACTGGTGAGTACTTTGATTTCTTTTGTTGACTGGGAGACTCGGGTGAAAGTTTCAGGAAATTGGTCAATTTAATGTGTGATACTGTATTCATAGACGTTCAATTCTGGTCTTGACATAATTTTGACATTGACAAGGTGACAATTACATTTTTCAAGTTACAGAAACTCGTCTTTATCTCATGGAAAACTCTTCTATTTCAGCGTTTTTATCTTCGAACATCAGAATTAGATTGTGCAACAACCAACATAAGCAATTTAAGAATGTTTTTGTCTCATATCATGAATATGTGTCAACAACTGCCTCAGGTCGCGTTTGTTTGAAGTTTAAGAATTGCTACAGATGAAACCCGAATGATTGTTCCATAATTAAATTCCTTGTTTGGATTTTGGAATAGGGAAAGCTTTGAAAGAGCTGATGATAATTGAAATAAAATGTGACTACAGATTTCTCCTCCATAGTCTGTGAATATTATGAGGAATATTATGTTAATTTATGTACCTACCTTTAAAAGTATGTAATTAAATCAACCTTATTGAAGGGACAAATGATCCTAGATCCCTTCCTAAATAATTCCAGATAACAATATAGGTACTTACCTACTTAGTATGTATTATAAAATGTAGGTAAATTCTTATTCTGATTCCAATTGATAGGGGTATATTTTGTATAGAGATATAGAAATAGGAAGCCAAAACCTAGGAACATAAATGTCCATTCATTAATCAATTCCATGTATTTTTTCATTCAAAATGCATTATCATGCTTTATTCACAAAATAGCTCATCATTTCTTTATAAATATTGTGTCTAGATATAAAAAAGATATCTTCCACATCCCAAAAATAAATTGAATTGTTATTGGTTTTTTTATTTTTTGTAAAGGTAATATTTACTCATTGAAGTCTTTCCCAAATTTTCTGTATAGTTACTTAGGTATACTTATACTTGAGAAAGATATAGTTCAGAATATTTAAGATAAAAATTCAAAGACAATGGGTATTTTCCCTTGAATTCCGTGAATATATAGGGAAGGAATATAATTTCAGTGTAAATATAAATAATAATTTTATTGAATGTATTGAATAGATAAACAAATCAAGTGTGAATTTATTTTTNAACACCAGGGTTTCTAGGAATCTTAGTCCGAACAAACTTGCGCGTTGCTTCGTCACTTGCGTTTCGTTTGTCGTTTGTGTCAGTCGTGTGTAGGGCCGGATTGTGAGATCGCGATAATTTCAGTGAGTTCACCTTTAAAACTGTGTCGTTTTCTCGTGAGCTGACCTGGATAACTTTCTAGAAGAATCAAGTAACTATTTGGAAGTGATTTCCGTACTGTTTTGGTGAGAAATCTCTTTTGGCGCGTGGCTATTTCGGTGTATTCTTAGTTGCCTACTCTCAGACGTAAACAAAACAAAATGAGCACGAGCGTGTACAAGCCCATCGGCCTTTTTCAGTCAAGAACGCCCGTGAAAATGCTTTTCTGCATGCCGGAAGTGCGAAAAGTCAAGAGGGTGCTCTTCGAACCTACGGATCACGCGGCCACTCAGAAATTCATCGACGAGGAGCTGCAGAAGATTACAGTAACGCAGTCCGAGAGATGGAACTTCGACTTCAAAAAGGAGAGGACCCTCAACCCCAACGGGGTTTACAACTGGAGGCCTGTCACACCGCAGAAGGCCATCCGGCCGATCAAGAGGCGCCAGAGTCCTGCCTTGGAGGAGTTCGAAGTGGAGGAATTGTACGGGTTCCCTCAGGAGATCGTGAGACCGGTTCCCGTCAAAGCTACAGTTGAGATGTCATCGCCTATTAGGAATCAGAAAGCACAGCCACAACGTCTTATTACTGGTGAGTACTTTGATTTCTTTTGTTGACTGGGAGACTCGGGTGAAAGTTTCAGGAAATTGGTCAATTTAATGTGTGATACTGTATTCATAGACGTTCAATTCTGGTCTTGACATAATTTTGACATTGACAAGGTGACAATTACATTTTTCAAGTTACAGAAACTCGTCTTTATCTCATGGAAAACTCTTCTATTTCAGCGTTTTTATCTTCGAACATCAGTATTAGATTGTGCAACAACCAACATAAGCAATTTAAGAATGTTTTTGTCTCATATCATGAATATGTGTCAACAACTGCCTCAGGTCGCGGTTGTTTGAAGTTTAAGAATTGCTACAGATGAAACCCGAATGATTGTTCCATAATTAAATTCCTTGTTTGGATTTTGGAATAGGGAAAGCTTTGAAAGAGCTGATGATAATTGAAATAAAATGTGACTACAGATTTCTCCTCCATAGTCTGTGAATATTATGAGGAATATTATGTTAATTTATGTACCTACCTTTAAAAGTATGTAATTAAATCAACCTTATTGAAGGGACAAATGATCCTAGATCCCTTCCTAAATAATTCCAGATAACAATATAGGTACTTACCTACTTAGTATGTATTATAAAATGTAGGTAAATTCTTATTCTGATTCCAATTGATAGGGGTATATTTTGTATAGAGATATAGAAATAGGAAGCCAAAACCTAGGAACATAAATTTCCATTTATTAATCAATTCCATGTATTTTTTCATTCAAAATGCATTATCATGCTTTATTCACAAAATAGCTCATCATTTCTTTATAAATATTGTGTCTAGATATAAAAAAGATATCTTCCACATCCCAAAAATAAATTGAATTGTTATTGGTTTTTTATTTTTTGTAAAGGTAATATTTACTCATTGAAGTCTTTCCCAAATTTTCTGTATAGTTACTTAGGTATACTTATACTTGAGAAAGATAAAGTTCAGAATATTTAAGATAAAAATTCAAAGACAATGGGTATTTTCCCTTGAATTCCGTGAATATATAGGGAAGGAATATAATTTCAGTGTAAATATAAATAATAATTTTATTGAATGTATTGAATAGATAAACAAATCAAGTGTGAATTTATTTTTTCGACATTTGGTCAAAGAATTTGAGAAGTAAAATCTGCATTTCTAGAAATCACCATCGGATTAACCGGCATTGTAATACCAGGAAATCCTGTTCCATATATAAAAAGGCTTCAAGAGACATTTTTTCATTTTTGGAAAAGTTATGAAAACAAGTTTATTATTTTTCCGCATTTTTCTTTCTATTTCTGTACATCTACTTTCTATAATAATATCTTTGTTAACCTTTACAATTCGAAAATCCAAAACGATTTTAAAGTCTGTAGAATCCTGTTTACTATGAATTTATTTCAAATTCTTGGATAATAGCCAATCGCCCGAAGCTGACAATTTACCTAGTTGTTTTTTTCAATGAACAAATAATGTGGTTTTTGGCTCGGTGACCTCACCGTGTTGGAAGAGTAGAAGTTACATGCTTGTTTTAGCATTTTCAGTCAGTAATTAAAATGATGAATCGCACAGGCACCGCTCTTGAGGATTTCCCTGTAGTGCTTGTCTTTTTAAAAAAATATGTAATGTATTCCAATCGGAAATAAGATTTTAGATATTGTCAGTGATCAAAGGATTATGTGCCGATTTTGTCATTACTAAGTACCTTTTCTAATTCATCTGATTGCAATGATTAGGGGTTTTTATATTACTTTTCATTAAAAAGATACGTAATTTCCTTTGAACGCTGTGATTAGATTTCAGCACACATTTTTGCGTCATCGTTTTCCTGATTATGGCTGCTGGGTAAATATTTGTGATTTTTATCTCATTCGTTGTTGTTTGAAGTGGATTTTTGTTTTCTGGATGTTCATTTCTGGTTGTTTGGTCGGTTACTAAATATATATTTTGATTTTCAACACATTCGATTTTTTGAAACGATTCGATCAATAATTTTGACTTCATTTTTGTTTTAGTCATCTTAAATTTTTCCAATTTTTTTGCTTTGCTTCCTATAATATCACTTTATAACTTGGTATTTTTCTTTGTTCTTTCTGTAATTTTTTAAACTTCTACAATAAACTACGTAAGTATTGGAAATCAAGTCCGTTTCCAACGTCAAAATTGAATTAAAACAATCAAGAGATTTTTTAAACTTATTCGCAGAAGGCAAACGGTATTGAAAACGGTTGAGTCAGACCTAAAAACCATAAAATGTACCTAAGTAGATAGATATATGTACTGCACAAAAATATACTTTTATAAAAAATCCAGAATTGATTCTGAATGTAATTTGCATTTCTGTAATTGAATTGAGATGGAACCGTCTTTGCAGTTTCTTTATTCTTTTAATTGGAATAAAAGTACTGTACGTTATTTTTGTGATGAAGAAATTTACCCATTTTTGTGATCCATTTACTAATTTTAATTTTATAAAAACGAATTTCTAGGAATCTGCTATCTAAACTTAATATATTGGACCTAGCCATCTCGTATTCAGTGAAGGGTAAAATTAAGAATACTGACAGAAAAAAATGTCGTCAAATTTCCTGTCAATCACGTTTCTAAATGAAGAGTGAATGTCTTTTAATTAACCCTTTAACTTAGTAAACTGTTCATATATACCTAAAGTTAAAATGCAATTTACTTAAACGAATTCAATATTCGCATACATTCTTTTCGGGTTACATTATCAATAAAGTAGTGCAGTTCTGTGATGAATTGTACAAAAAATTATAATGCAATCCAAAATTCAACTACCTAGATGACTGAATACATTAAAACAAGATTGAATCATTAAATATGGTAATGGAATTCCAAGAACAAGTTCAATTCTAAATCCACTAATCTGGAAAACTTGTTTAACGTACGGGTAATCATCATTCAGACTCGATCTTCACGTAAACTTCAAATTTATATATGTCAGTGGTTTCTGACACATTTATGTTTTATTCTTTCTGTAACAATTCTCAGTTTTATTTATACAAAATGTACTGTGACGTTACACATACGTTATTTCTTCAAGAGGCAGTTATGAGAGATATTGAGAGATATCCTGTGGATGGTGGAAAACTTTCTCATAATGAGTACATACAATTTCATTGAAATTATTATTAACTTCGGAAGGTCGTGAGTTTGATCCCAACCTCGACCAGATATTTTTCTCGAGAGAATTTATCTACAGCAAGCGCCAAACCTGATGGCTAGCCCGCTCCCATACGCAGACATTTGTTTTCCAATGCTGTGAGCGTTTGGCATTGTCTGAATAATTTGTGTTGTTTCTGAAAAGAAGTCATCCCCTAATAAAAAACCAGTCATCAAGAGTGTATCATTATATAACATTTTAATTATCTGTACTACTACATATAATAAATACTAAATAAAAAATGAAAATAAATTACTAAGAAGTCATGTTCCATTTGCTACTCTAATTGAAACTAATTAAAGGTACGACACTGGCCGGCAAGGGGCTTATCGTAATCCAATAGGAATTTAGTTGGGATAGTCTATACCTGCGCCATCACGTTTGGCGTTTGCAATAGTTGAAGCTGGGATGATTCCGCAACGGAACACGGCTGACGGACTGCGAACAGCCATGATGTCCCTTAGGTGGCTCGATGAGTTACTAACATTGTTACCCAGAACACGAGGCTAATCACCAATGTAGTCGATGCCGATGCCACAAAACAAAATTCTATGTCTTTGATTCAAATATGAACTTTGGGATTTTATCAAGGATGCTGTTAGTGTACAGAGAGGAGCAACATATCCTATATTAATGATAATAAACTTTAATTTGTTATTCAACATTAGTTCGTTATGAAATAATCCGTTAGGTTTTTATATTTGTTGACTCTTGGTCTAACGTCGATACATAAATCTGTCGATATCTGTTGGGGTTAGGAAAACCGTTACGAGACACCCCCTAGACACACGTCACATGTTAAATAAGTTCGGCACCCCCGTCGCATAGGGTGAGAGGGTGCGATTATTTCGCATCTGTCTACTATCCCAGCGATGATGAAACAGCTGTGCGATCCTAGACGGGGAGGATTTCAAATTACTTTTCGACACCCCCTCGTACTCCAATCTTCCGTCCGGCCCGATATCAAGAGAGGTAGCTCATTCGGCCGCAAAACAAAAAACTAGAGAAAAAGAAGACGATCGGTCATCCATTTTAGGTTATAGGTTAATGTACGCGGCCAAGGTGATCCGCCTAACGCACCGGAGTGCACGCATCTCACGCACCGCTTGTCAGACAAAGAGAGCATACAAACAAAGCATACAAACAACAACAAAGTACTCCTCTTTCCCGCGGGGCGGATCACGACCATCAATCCCGGGGGCGAAGCGAGCTATTGAATTTTTGAAACGCAGCAGCGGGATGTTTTGGTGAAATGAAAAAGTGGAAAGTCGGCTTTTATGCGTTCAACTCGGCGTTCTATTTGGGCGCGTAGATCGAATGGGGTATATATGAATAAGGTTCTCGTGTATGTTTCGATTTTTTAATGTGGTTGGAATGCATTATTAGAGTATACAGGTATTCAGGTAGCTCGCACAAGTTTCGACTTCTGAGGGTTGTCGTTCGTAGGGGTGCGACAGCTGGTTAACGGAAAAACAGATTTTTTTAAAACAGATTCTGGCTACAGGAAGGTTAAAAATCAAGCTTACCATAAATATCAAACTATTAGAGAAGGAAGGAAGACATTTTAAGCTAAATATCAGATCGAAAGAGAAAAAACCTGCGACATCCTCAATTCTAATGAACTGAAAGTTTCAGAGTACTTTTGGGAATAGTAGCTTTATGGCTTCAAAAAAAAAAGAAGAAAGAAAATATCCAAAATAAGAACTCTTTATAATTATACGTAGATCTTGTACAGAAGATTGTTTCAGATACAAATTATATACGAATAGTTTGAGAGTATTTGAAGTAAACAGTTCCATTCATAAAGTTACTTGTCTAG